ATATAATTAGTTAGGATGAGGTCATACTGGAATGGGTGGGTGCCTATTCCAATATGACTGGTATCCTTATAAGAAGGGGAAATGTGGACACAGACACACACATAGGGAGAACACTGTGTGAAGATGAATGGAGATTGGAGTGATGCATCTGCAAACCAAAGAATGCCAAAGATTGCCAGAAAGCCATCAGAAGCAAGAAGGGAGGTGTGAAACAGATTCTCCCTCGCAGCCCTCAGAAAGAACCAACCCTGCTGACACGTTGATCTCAGACTTTCAGCTTCCAGAACTGTGAGACAATAAATTTCTCTTGTTTAAGCCGCCCAGTTTGTGGTACTTTGTTATGGCAGCCCTAGCAAACTAATACAGATTTTGGCAGGATTTAATGCTTTCTGGACACAGAACTTCTTCCCAGAGACTGTTTTTATTCCTAAGTCAATCAGTTAAGGACTCCATTTTGAGAAAATTCTAAGATAGCAGGAAAAATGTCACAGAATTAGAGTTTAATCATCAAAATGTCAATGAGGCTTGGTGTCTCCACAATGCCACTCCTTGAAGCCATGGAATGAACAACCACAGCCCAGAACTCACCCTCATGACTGGGCCTTAGGGCTAAGCATTACTGGGCATCTGTTGTGACCTGTAGTAGATTCTCTTAAGAACAAGCACTTGAATGTAGTGGATTCCTGAGTGCTCTCCTCTGAACCGCACTTAAGATGCTCTCTTGTTAACCACGCCAAGACATTTTTGGCTTGCCTTCCATCTCAGTCAAGCCAGGAGTCAGGAAAGCAAGCCTCCAATTCCCAGTCTCCAGTGGCCATGGCAGGTTTCAATCTGCCTCATATCTGTCAGTGTCTGACCAGTGAGGAGCCTCTATGAAGACAGCTGGGGCAGAGAGTTGGAAACTTGTTATTTTAAAGATGTGAGGGAAGCTTTCCTTAGGCTGATATCATGGGCTGCCACTTAACAGGATTTTGTCACAATTGGAGCTGAGTTTAAGTAATTGCTTCTTTCTTTGATGAAAAGGAATATTTCTAAAGGTGAGGTGCATAGAGGAACAATGTACCCAGGCCAGTTATGGAGCCATTCCAAATCCTTGCAAACATTACAAGGATCTATTGAATACAGTCTTATACAACTATCAGGTTGGTACCAGGCTTCTTGACAAGGGAAGGATGGGCATGGAGGCACACCAGACTCCTCTGAATGGGTGGCTAAACCAATTAGGGAGGAATATGTCCTTATTGTGCAAGGCCTGGAAACCCTGGGACATTGCTGAGGACACCACTGTCAGCTTGCCCTTGACTCAGTGAAGACTGTATTGTCAGGTGGACTAAAGGCTTGGGAGTGAGGGAATTTACTCTCTAAAATCCAGGGTTCTCCAGGACAGACGATGTTAAAGGTCCAAGGAAAGAATATCAGCTTGGGTCTTGGTGTTTAGTTCTCTATCCCACCCCTTTCCAGCCAGGATTCTTAGCTGCCGTGATGCACGTCCCAGTGAGCCCCTGCTGACAGAGTGCACATGTGGTTGTTTCCTTTTAAGTTTTAGCATGATGGCAGCTACTGTTTGCCTACATCAGCAGGTTGCCGGACTAATTTGTCCAGGCGGAGTGGGTTGTTTTTTTCTGGTGGGAAAATGTTTAAGGCTTCTCTTGCCAGGGAAGGTTCATGGGGAGTCAGCCAGCTGTGCAAGGAGTGGTGTCTATTATGGGAAAAGGGGAATCTGATACGCATGAGGGGTTTTGGGGTTGGGAATAGTAGAAAGGGGATATGGTGGGGGTCACGCTCAGGCACAGTGTTCTCACAAGTTGCGGGTGCCGAATGAACTGGATTCATAGATGAAGGGGGAAGGGAGGGGCCTCTCCATCACTCGTGGTCCAGACAGAAAACTGAAGTCATGCAAAATGTTTTCAACAGAGAGAATTTAATACAAGGAATTTATTACATGAGAAGAGCTGAGAAGCCACATAGGGTATGGTGAGGCAAATTAGAGCTTAATAAAGCAAGAAGCCTCGACCAGCTGTAGCATCAGAAGTGTATTAACTAGAGCCCAGAAGCTGGGGCATTGGGTGGAAATGGGAACCAGGCCAGGCTTACCGAGGGAGGGACTGTCTGGTGGGAGATGGAGCCACTGTCAGAGATGCTGCCTGAGGCAACAGGGAGAAAAACTCTGGCCCCTCTCCACCCCCAGGGCCTTTTGCTGGCCCAAACTGCTGGGAAGCCAGGTGGCAAGGGAGTCCAAGAAGACAGAAGAAGGGAAAGCACATGGATGCACATGAGAGCCCACAGGCAGGTGACCAGCGTGGCCATGATGGCAGGGCGCTGTGGTAGGGGCCTTTAGGAGGAGTTGGTTAGAGTTGTCATTGTATCTCTGGGGATCAGAGAGGTGCATTAAGTTGCTGAAAGTCACACCAGAGGAGAGCCAGAATTTGAATGGGCAGCTGTCTGGCTCGGAGTTCTCTAATACCAGGCTGAGGAATAGGAGTTGGCCTGCTGAGGAAGAGGCTTTCTGGGGAGGATTGGGCGGAAGAAGACAGGGTTGAGGAGTTGTGCAGGCGAGGGGTGGTTAGATGACTCAGTGCTCCAGCCGGAGCTTCGTGGTCAGCTCAGGTGCCAGTGTCCTGTGATGAAAGCAGAGCCTGCCCATTTCTGTGCCTCTTCCCTTCCTTGGTAACCGTGTGAGGATTTGAGTCTGGATCAAAGATAAAAGGCATCTCTTCTTGGGAGGAGGCCCCAGAGATGGGCCAGAGCTGGGAGACCAATGGAAAGGTTGGGGGTACTGTCTGCCAGCAGATACTTTGCCCTGCTTGGGTTCTGAGCATCAGAATTTTAGAAGTGGCCTCATGAAAAATGAGAAAGCCGGTTTGGCCGTGGTTTGGGTGATGGGGGAAGAAAGTGAGGGAAACTTAAGAGGTCATGCCAAGATTTCAAAGCAGGAATGACAGCAATTTGGACCAGCTGCAGGCAGAGCACTTGCTGCAGCCCTATCTGCCAGGCAGCCAGCTCCATCCTGGGAAGACAAGGCAGCGTCAACCTGCAAATCCTTCAAGCTTGTCTCTTTTTGACTCACAGTTGGATCTCCCCATGAACAACGCTTTGTGGAGGGGTGGAATGTGTTTTTGTGTTGCAACAGTGTTTTCTAGCTGGTTGCCTGACTTAAGTGATGAGTCTGCAGACCGTGCTGAGAGGATCTGAACTCAGATCACGAGGCCACGTTTATGGCAATGCTGACTGATTTATGCATAGCATCACAAGATGGTCTCAAAGTCATTGAAAATCTTTTCAACGTGCACAAACAGGCTAATCCAAGTACTCACTGCATGGGGGTACCATCTATGAAAGGATTTGTGCTCTCTCTCTGTTCCCTAGATGGATGATTCTAAAATACTGTCACTAAGAGGTCAACGCTCCTTTTCCTAGCTCTTCTATTCGCCTCCCATCCTGTTAGCTCCTCCCGAGAGGAAGGAGACGCATTTTTATCCCTGTGGCAGCAGCCAAGCCCAATGCCTCCTGCTCACTGTGGCACCCCCAGGTTGACGCTTTGCAAACACTCCTGTGTAAGTGATTGTTACAGTGGACGACAGGAAATGCTGCCTCAAAAATGCTAACCTGGAAAAATGGAAAACTTCTTAACGACAAGTGTTAACAATTGAAAGAAAAGTGAAAATTGAAATGGTACCTTGGCTCCATGCTTCTTACTATTCCAACCTGTATTCTGGTAGTTTCCTTATGTGGAGGGCATTGAGCAACATGGTTCTTTATCTGGAGTTGGCTAAAGACCATCCATTTTGAGTCTGAACATTCCAGTCTGGCAGTTGATGCTCTCGTTTCATTGGACAGTTTGGCCCAAAGAGCATTTTATTAGTTACACTCATAAAAATAACATGCCCAGGAATCTGCTTCTGTGCTTGGAGAATAATCCCACTTTATAAATGACCCACTTTCTTTAGCACAGTGTACACATGATGTGACTGATTGCTCCCCTGGGAGTGAGGAGTGGATGAGACTGGAGAGGAGGAGGAGAAGTGAGCAGTTGGCCTATTTACTGCAAAATGGCAGCCATGAAAATGTGCTAGTTCCCTACACTTCATCGTCTAGGAAAACGGGACTCTGCGGCCTTGCCCTGACAGAAGCAACTTGGTGCTCATGGGCCCTGGGCCCGTGGTCCTTCCAGGGGAAACCTAAGTCTGCCCACTGCAGCCACATGGACGATGGACAGGACTGATGCTGGCCAACCCACAGCTCCTGCAGGCCCTCCCCGAGGCTCTGAACTCGTTCACCCATTCCACAAGTACCAGATGGATGGCTCCTCTGCGTCACCTTCTGTGGTAGGTGCTGGGGACACACCAGGAGAGGGTTCTTATTCTCAAGGAGTGTAGAGTCCTCGGACAGACCAACGCTCATGGGGTAGGTGGTAGGATGAGGGGGGATGCACAGCGTCTTTGAGAACACAGTGGACGGATACTTACCTGGGGGCAGGACCGGGGGTGTGGTTAATTGCTGGGGCTCATTCTTTGGAACTCACTCTGTTGACCGCTGCTTCTACATTTGTACACAGTAAGTTCTAACTGGAACTATGAATTTTGGGGAAAACATTATCGCAGAGTCTCTCTCTCTCTCTCTCTCTCTTTCTCTGTGTGTCTCTCATCTCTTTCTCTTTTTTCTCTCCTCTCTCTTCATTTTTTCCTCTCTCTGCAACAAGAAACTATGAATGGTGGCCATCTTTTCAGTTAGTCCATTGAACTGGGACAAGTCTGTCACAGCAAGGCTGGAGAGGACTGAGTCTGGAGAAACGCCAATATCTGGTCATCGAGTTAGAGACAGGGAACCCCCAGGCCGGGCATGGTCAGAAATGAGCGTACAAAGATGGTCATGGACCAGAGGTTGCCTGGTGAGTCAGGAACCTGGAATTTCAGGAGGACCACTGAGGTGGAGAACGGCAGAAACAGGGCACAGAAATGACCACCCCAACAAGGCCTGGTGGACACAAAGGCAGCCTCCCGGCCCAGTCTTGCTGCTGGGCAGAGCCCACCTGAGAGCAGCGTTCACTTGGGAGCTGCAGGTGGGAGCTGAGGAGGGGCGAGTGCAGTGAGGAGTTTTGGGCGGAAGCAAGGACAGTCCTGCACCTATCTAGATTTAGTCTGAGCCTTTGTTTGTTTGTCTGTTTGTTTGTTTCCTGAAATGCGGATCCAAACAAAGAAGTCCCACTAATTTCTGAGGGAATTCAGTTTTGGAGTAACCTCCGAGAGAGCTCAGACATCAAGAAACAACGTCTTGTTGGGACGCTGAGTTGTGGACTCGCTTTCATCTCAATTTTCTTCAACTGATTTCCTCCCATGTTTAAACAAAAAGGAGATGCTGTTTGTCCTGTCACATGGAATTGTGATTACTCACTTGTGGAAGGATGCCCCCCCCAAGACTCTGGCAAGAGCAGGGGAAATTCTTTTCAACACTAGCCCCGAGGAATTCTCATGATCCTGGTTTCCATTTTGGTCAAAACTGAGATGAAAGGACTCGATCCAGCATTGAGGAGAGCTGTAATTTTGATCCTGAGGGAGACAGAGCTAGACAAAAAACTAGGCTACTCTTTTATCTGTTCTATGAATGAAGAGGCACATCTTGTTACAAATTGAACAACTATTGTGAGTTGAACTTCTGGTACAGGTCCCGTCTCTAAATCAAAGCCTCAGTAGGTGAGGAGAAGCAACTGCGAAAAGGGGCTGATTTTTTTTCCCCATTAAAATGTTGTTAGGTAATATTATTATATGTCAACTGTCTTAGTCCATTTGGGCTGCTACAACAAAATGCTGCAGACTGGTGGCTTATAGACAACAGAAATTTATTTCTCAGGTCTGGAGGCTGTAAGTCTGAGATCCGGGTGCCAGCAGGGTCAGGCAAGGTCTTGCAGGTGGCAGACTTCTCGTTGTGCCCTCACATGGCAGAAAGAGGGTGAGAGCTCTCTTGGGTCCCTTTTATAAAAGCGCTAATCCCATTAATGAGGGCTTCAACCTCATGACACAATCACCTTCTAACACCATCACCTTTGAGGGTTAGGATTTCAACGTGAATTTTGGGAGGACACAAACATTCAGACCATAGCATCTACCTTCTTTTTGGCTTTGTGTTTTTATAATAATTTTATAAATACAATTAGCAGCAGCAGGTGCCCTAGAGAAAATTTCCGATTGGTAAAAATGGGACAACTTATTTTGGATGATTATGGACATTTCTATCTGAAGGATTCTTTTTTCACACCTCCTTACTTCCAGTTCCTCTGATATATGTAACTCTGTGAACTTTATTACTTCTAGGTTTTGTATTCTTTAAGATTAAAAAAAATTTTAATTGTGGCAAAATATGCGCAACATGAAATTTACCATATTAATCGTTTCAGTTCAGTAGTATTAAGTACATTCACATTGTTATGCAACCGATTTCCAGCACTCTTTCTTCTTGCAAAACAGAAACTTCCCATTCCCCTCTCCCCCAGCCCCTGGCAACCACCATTCCACTTTCTGTCTCCATGAATTTGACAACTCTAGGAGCCTCATATAGGTAGAATCATACTGTAGTTGTCTTTTGTGACTGGCTTGTTTCACTTAGCATAATGTCCTCAAAGATTTGGTATTCTTTTATTTAATCTTTAAAATAATATTTCTTCTTAACATCTGAGGGCTAACCCATTTAGACTTTGGAAAGGTCATCCTTAGAATTTCAAAAATATTCTCTAAGCCTGGAAAATTTAAAAACAAGTATGTATCTGGAAAACACCATATTGCTCATAGCAGCGTGGAACATCTCAGAGGTGAAAAATCAATGAACCCATGCCTTCCTAGTGGAGGGAGAGGGGTCGTATTAAGTGGTGCCAGCTGGGAACCTCCTGTGCGGCAGGGAGCCGATCCTGCAGGCCCGGAGCCAGGGGCAGGGGCCGCTCTGCACATGTGCTGTGCTCGCGGGTGGGTGCCCGCGGTCACGCGGCTCTCCCGGGGCTGCCGCGACAGCTGCCAGTGGAGTGGGGCTGGCAGCCGCCCCGGAAGGAGACATCTGCCCCTGCTGCTGCCGGAGCGGAAGAGCAGGAGGCAGCTGCACAGAAGCAGAGACGCGGACAGGAGCAGAGGAGGCCGAAAGAGCACCCTAGACCTCCTTGCGCGCCCACCCTCAAACCGCGCTGCTCCCGGGTTGGTCAGGGAGCACGAGGAAGCTGCTGTACTCTGTGCTCGGACAGAGAGGCTCAGCCCTACGCGGCTGCCCAGCACCCGCACAAATGCTGGAGCAAGGCGGGCTGGGTGGGGACGCCAGGCTGTTCGTCGCACTGAGGTGGCCTTTAAAAGCTCCTTGGAGTTTGTTTTTTTATGTCTTCGCAGCCATGCAAATAATCTCTAAGAACCGTGACACCATCTTTTTCTAAGAAATATAATTTGCTACTGTCCATAACACGGATTTCCCGCCTCAAAGAGCCAATGTGTTTTCTCGCCATTTATCAAATCTTTTACGCTCTGGTGACTAATGGAAAATACAATTGCAATTTGTTACTGTTTTGGCATTGTTTGCGATCAGAAATGACACCGCAACAAAGGGGTACTCACTCACGATTGCCTTCAAAATTTATTCTCTCCTGAGGGAGTACACACACTTGCACATCAACAGGGGTTGATAACCACAATGTGTGTAGCCTTTATAAATTATCCAGGGAGCGATTTTCACTTTAACAAACCGTGTTGCCATCCATCAGCTCGTTTTGGCGTCACAAGAATGTTTACGGTACTGCTTCAGTTAAAAAGAATGAGGCTTAAAGGAGAAATGGCTGGTCTAAGGCCATACAGGAAGTCAACTGGGGCTGAAATGTAGGTCTCCGCGTCTTAACCGAGCTCTTCTCACTGCTCTATACTTGAGAAGAAGAACGTGCCAGAACCGTAGCAAGAGGGAGAAGAGAGGATCTCTTTCTTTCTCCTGCTGACTGGCAGCGCTTCCCCCACTCCCAGCCCAGGCAATCCAGAGATGTTCAATTAGCGATTACTTGAAAATCAAGGGGCAGGAGCCAGGGGAGTGGGGGGTGGGCACAAGGGGTGGAGGGATGCATTTATAGGGTGACTGGACAAACAGTAATGTACAACAAAAATTTCACAATAAAAAAAAATCAAGAGGATGTATCTATTAGGTTGAACTACCATTTTTTAAAAGATTAAAATAGTCAAATATCAACAATTTTATGTTTCAAACAAATCGATCTCCCCAAATTTATATAGATTACGTTTCCCATGCAGCATCAAATTGGTCTTTTTTTTGGTTAATTTGGCCGGTTGCTTTCCTTTCAGTTTTGCTGCCCCCTGATCTGAATGGGCCAGTGGCCTCAGATCATTATTTTAGGGGCTTCCAGAACAAAATTGAACCAAATCTAGAGGCAGCAGGCCAAACCATGCAATTAACCCCAAACCAGGCAATTCAGGGTCATGTAAATATGACTCACAAATGGCCAGCCCGCAAGAATTTTCAACAGGTCTAACCAGCTCCTTGTTACTGCACATTTTGCCTGAAAAAGGAATTAAATCATATTATTTTCCATGCATCTGGCGTAAATTCGTAGTTGTTCTGGTGAGTAGGGGACAGCTGATTTCCAGGGCCATTACAGGGTGATGATTAGAAAATCAGGAGGGTGTGTTGGCTGAGTGTCAAGAATGAAGGAAGAAGGGGCAGAGAGTCAAGTGTCTAGAGAGCCACACATTAGAGTCGTTCATTCTTACGGCTGTGGAGGCTGGCAACTCGCACGCTGGCCAGGCTTTCCACCATCTGGAGCGAAATCAGGACACTCCCCCCAGGGGTGGATGGGCTCCAGGGGACAGGCTGGCAGAAGGGCTGTGGACACCCTGCAGGAAAAGAGAGCCTCCTGCTCCCCGCAGGTAGTGGAGAAATGAGCACAGCGCGTTCCGCACTTCTTTTTCTGGTCATAAGGTGCTTTGGTGAACACTTGATACCAGGCAGGAAACAATTCAGCTGAGAAGCCCCTGGTGCGGCTGCTTGGGAGGAGCTGTGTTCTTAAGGTGCTGCACCTGAAGTCTCTCGGAGTCCCTGTTTCTGGCAATAAGGGCTTCATTTTCCCTTTGCACTACAAGTGGGAAGAGCTCACAAAAGCACTATGTCAAGGCTGAAGAACCCTGATTCCCACAGCATGATGACAGACCCAGCAAGCCGCAGTTAGAGAGGCAGACAGGCAGTGGTCCACAGTCTCAGTACGAATCTTGCAGAGCGTGTTGGAGGGAAGCAGAGACTTCCATAAAGTCAGTGGATGGTAGTGTACTAGGAAGCCAGCTCTCCGGAAAAAATACGAACCAACCCTGATTTGTAACATTTGCTGATTTCCATGGTATAAAAATACTCCCACTGTGGCCAATTTCAAACCACCAATAGTTAACAACCGGCTCACAAAATTTCTGGATGTTTGACAATCTCTCCTGAGCCTGTACGAGTGGGCTTGACACAGCACAACTTGGTGGCTTAAAAACTGGAATTAGGCAAATGTGTGAGCAAAAGTTAGAATGTCAGGATCCTGGGCAGGAGGTGAATGTCTCAGGGCAGACCCATCCCCTCCCAACCCTGCTGCCCTCCTTTCCTGCTAAGTTCTCCTCACAACGCTCTTGCAATAAGTCAGCACCCCAGACAAGCATCCCGGTCCTGGGATCTGCACCAGACAACCTGACCTGGGACGCTGTGCCCCCTCCGTCACACCCCTGAAGCACCCAGAGCCCCAGGTCTTCCCAGACCCCCTGCTGCACCATCACTGTGCTGCACTCGTGGGCGAAGGAGCAGGCAGAGAGGCCCTGGGGGCTGCTGCTTGTCTCCTGGAAGGAGTCTGCGGAGGGGCTTCACGTTGCTGGAGCAGAGATTGGTCTCAGAAACCTCCCCTAGTGGGCCCCATGCATAATTTAAAATACCTCTCTCCATGAGCAGAAATTCGGTTAATTGTTAGGAAAGTAGACCCCAGCTTTTCGGCAGGATGGGTTTATAGATTGATGGGAT